GAGGAGGGATTTTCCAGCATCAAGGGTTATTAAACATTTGAATTAGGGGTAATGGGCACTGTGGAATCTCTTTCTTTGGACATCTTTAGAAATAGAGCTAATTGTCATTTGCCTGGAATGGTTTAAATATGGCCTTGCATGACTCACTAGAGATGGACCTGAGGACCTGCTAAGGTCCCATCAGAGCTAGTGATGCTATCTATACACAGTTTCTGAGTCTCACGCCTTGACACAAAGCACCTGTGTTCAGCATTCATTAAGTATCCACTGCTAGGTGGTGCAGTGGATAGAGCACTGGCCCTAAAGTCAGGAGGACCTGAATTCAAATCTGGTCTCAGGCCAAACACTTGACACTTACTAGCTGTGTGAACCTGGGCAAGTCACTTAACCTCAATTGCCTAAAAATAATAATTAAAAAAAAAGATAAGTATTCATTGAAACTTGTTTTAAAATGGAAAAGGAAAAGATTCCTCCTTAGGTTTGACTGCTATGAATCACTTCTTATGCAACACAGCCAAGGCTGGAAGGATTTAGAAAACAACCTTTATTAAGTTTGATATACAAATAATACAGCAAACCCCCCAGACCAAGAGCGACTCTGTAGTGTGAGTGGGCATGATGTTATCAGTTAACTTGGTTTAAATTGCCCTCAATTTAATTCAATTCAACAAACAATTATTAGCCTGCTAGACAATATTTGCATGTTGTCTCCCCCATTAAACTGTGACTTCCTTGAGACCAAGGACTATTTTTTGTTTTGTTTTATTGTTTTGTCTTCCTTTGAATCTTCAGGGCTTAACACAGTACCTAGAATATAGTAAGTGCTTAATAGATATTTATTGACTGACTGATTGTATGAGATCCTCTGCTAGGTACTGAAGATACAAAGATAGAGATGACATAATCTTTACTGTCAAAATCATACTGTCTAGTAATATTGTCTAGTCTAGTCTAGTAGGGTATTAGATATCAAATGTTATTGAACGAGATATTTTATCAAATAAGATGACATATAAAGTGCTTTGCCAACCTTAAAATACTATATAAATGCTAGCTGTTTTTATTAGATATAGAAAAAAGTACTATACTATTTTTTTTTTTTTGCTTTTTGGTGAGGCAGTTGGGGTTAAGTGACTTTCAGGGTCACACAGCTACTAAGTGTCAAGTGTCTAAGGCCGGATTTGAACTCAAGCCCGCCTGACTCCAGGGCCAGTGCTCTATCCACCTAACTGCTCCCAGTACTATACTGTTTAGAAAATGATTCCATTCTTAGCAGATATCAAGCATGGTACCATTAGAGATTTGAGGAGGGATTTTGCCTTTTAACTGGTGAAATTTGAGGGACATTCATAGAGAATTTGGTACCTAAGCTGGATCTCAAAAGACAACAAGGATTTTAATCAGTGTAAATCTCTGGGAGAGGGGTCCTGTCCAGGTGTGTGAAAATTTATGAAAGTTCAAGAAAAGATTAATGACCAACAAGGAGTACAGTCTAGTTGGAGTGCAGGCTGCATGAAAGAGAGGACCATAAAATAACTGGAAGAATAGTCCAGAGCCAGATTGTGGACAACTTTGAATGCCAGGTTGAGTTTATATTTTATTCAGAAACCAATAGAAAGCAACTGTTGGCTTTTTAAGCTAGTGAATGGAATGATCAAGTCAATGAATTAAGAAGACTACCATGGTAACAGTGTGAAGGATGGCTTGAAAAAGAGATTGGAGGTAAAAAAAAAAACAGTTAGGAGACTCATAATAGATATTCAAAAAGGTATTGAGAAGGGTAAAAAGGAAGAGATGTTTCCAAGGTAGAAATCATAGAGCTTGACAATGGATTGGATGTAATCTGAGTTAGTCAAAACTGACCCTTAGGTTTCAGATCTGTGTGGTGAGCAGAATGGTGGTATCATCACTAGAAATAGAAATGTTAAGAGGAAAATGATATCTAGAAATGGTGAGTTCAGTTTGGGATATACTGTAGGATTTAGGTGGGGATGTCCAGTAGACAATTGGAAATGGAGATTCAGGGGACAAAAATGGAACTAGTGACAGAGATATTAGAGGAGTCATCTACGTAGGTGAATATTCGAATTCATGATAGTGGATAAGAAAACTGAAGGTAGGAGAGAAGAGAGGGCCAAGGGCAGAGCTCTGAAGAGTAGGCATGTTCACTAGCGACTACATACCTCTATAATCTTGCTGTCTACATATTGAAAGCTTTTCCTACCATAACGTATTACTTGACCTCTAATCCAGTTACTTCGTCTCTTGGAAGTAGTGCTCATCTATAAACAGACCAAGCCACAGAGATTACTCAAGAAGAATCTTTTACAGGACCCATTTACATTTCTGCCATGAGAAATATATCAAGAACCAAACAGGGCCAAAACTCAGATTCTCGTAGCCTAATCTTTAAGTATTAATAGAATTTTCTTACTCATTTATGAGTAGCCAGTTAAAGAAGACACTTTCTTTGGCCTGATGTACATGAGTGGGAACAAATCTATTCAAACTACAAAAGACCACAGATTTAGAGTTGAAAGAACTGTAGAGGTCATGCAGTCCAACCCCCTCATTTTAAAGAGGAAATTAAGGCCCAAGGAAGTAAAAGTGGATTGCTTAAGTCTGCCCTGATAATAAGTAACAGAACCAGTATTGAAATCCAAAGTCTTTTTGATCCAGATCTACCATACTACTTTATTATTATTTTTATTACATAGGACTGAACCTGTGATTTCAGTGATATACCAATTCAGGTCAGTGCTTTTTCTGCAACTCATTGTCTTAAAAGGTTGTGTAGAGCACTGAGAAGGTAAGTGACTTGCACAGGTCACACAGTCAGTATGTGTAAGAGGCAGAACTTGAACATAGGTAGTAGCAGTAGTAGTAGTTGTCATCGTCATAGTAGTAGTAGTAATAGTAGTAGTAGCAGTAATAACAATAACAATTATAATACTTTACCAATATTCTCTTTGGTACATATTTTGGTACATTTATTTAACAGAAGTCATTATATATTTATAACCAAAAGATGCGAACTTTAAACACAGACCAATTACATATTTATCTACAATATACAAAGCATTCATAGCATTTATTACCCAAAACAAATGTATTAACATTTGCATATATACATGGTATATACATATGTGTGTGTGTATGTGTGTGTGTGTGTGTGTGTGTGTGTGTGTGTGTGTGTGTATACAGAGAGAGAGAGACAGAGAGAGGAACAAAAGTCTTGTGCCAAAAAATTGCAGGGGGTATAAAATGTACCTAATAGTAAAAAATAGTGATAAATAAATAATAACTATGTTCACATAGTACCTCACATGTAGTCTAGTTCATCTGATCCTCACAATCATAACACATCAGAGCCATTATTATGTAAGTTTTACAGATGATGAAACTGACTTACCCGGACTCATGCAGCTATTGAGTATCTGAAGAGGAATTCAAAACTAGGTCTTCCTGAATCCCAAGTCCAACATTCTATGAATACATCACTACTGACCACTGCTGGCACCTGAAAACATTTGCGATCACTTGTGGGCTTTACACACTGTGTCTTATGTTGCTTAAGTCCTGGTTTCAGTTGGCAAGATTTATAAAGTTGTTTTATTGCTAAATTTGAGCTAGAAATCTACTGAAGAGTTTATCAAAATGGAGTGAACATTTCACAGGGTAGATCTTATTATGACAGTGAGGAATGTATTTTTTGTTGTTCAGTCATGTCCAACTCTTTGTGACCCCATTTAGGATTTTCTTGGCAAAGATACTGGAGTAGTTTGCTATTTCCTTCTCCATCTCATTTCACAGGTGAGGAAACTGAGGCAAACAACATTAAGTAATTTGCACCCAGGGTCACACAGCTAGTAAGTGTCTAAGGCCAGATTTGAACTCAGGATGATGACTTCAGGCCAGCATTCTACCCACTTCCCCACCTAGCTGCCCTTCTGCTGCATTACTCCTTCCTACAATGTGTATCTTCAATGGCAGACATGGACAGAAAGAGCTGTTATTCTTTGAGACTTAGCTTAGTGTAATACAGAGTGCATAAGACTCAGAGTTAGGAAGACCTGAATTCAAATTCCACCTTGGACTTTTCTGAGCTATATGACCCAATGCAAGTGACAATTTCTATGAACCTCAGTCTCCTGAAGTGAAAAATTGTTACCTCACAGGATTATGGTGAGGATTAACTGAGACAATATAGGTAATGTGCTTTGTAAAACTTAAAGCATTATATAGTAGTAGCATTACAAAAAAGAATTACTACCTTGGAAAATGGCTGTAGGGAAGTATGAAGAGAAACATGTCATACATCTTCTGAGCAGAAACACATTTTCCAAGTCGTATTTTATATTAAATAAATTGGGCATTGCTAGGTTTTTAATCCTAGAGTATGAGCAATCTAGAGTTGGAAAGAACAGTATGTCCCCCCCTCCAACACATACCCCCCTTTGAAATCTACTAAGTAAGTAGTGAATATCTATCTGTTTTGGTGTATCAGGACCTAGCCACACAACTTCAGATGACACTGAAATATGTACATTGAGATTGCATGTAGGGTAGTTTAAAAAAAAAATAAGATCTTGAAAACAAGAGTTAAATTTCCCTAACAAAAGAGATCTAAAATGGGCCATTGTCATCCGTTTGATATTAACATCAGCTCTTTTGGCAAGTTTGAAAATACTGGGCTATGCTATAAAGCTAAAAATGTCCTGGACCTAAAGTTGTTTACACAAAATATGAACAGATCTAAAGTTACAGAGCTGGGGTTGGAAGAGGTGGCTTGAAGGCCATCCTCCCCACAGCTGACGTCACACCACTCCCAGCTGCTGGTCTGACGCTGAGCTGAACTGTGGGGTTTTTTTTCACTCTAAAAGTAGTGAAGGTTTCAAAGAGGCTTACTAGTGTTGCTATGCTGAATTATTGCTCCTGCTTTGGCGTCTCCTAAAGGAGTGAACTTCACAGAGCTGGAATTTTTTTTTCTATTCTTATAGCTATACATTCCACTTGTTTTTCACTGCTAAATTTACCAATGGATTGACAGAACTTTAAAAGGATTTCCTCCCTGCAAAAAAAAAAGGTATGTTTTATTTCTGGAAGCCTAAAAGTGAGCATCTAATTGTTATAAACTAGAGAGGGAATGATATGTTTTAAAACGTTGAAACTGCTGGAGCTCAGGATTATTTAAACATCTGTCTCTGCCCGTGTCTGTGCCTGAAAACAATGAGGTATGTTGTAACGGATTGCACTGAGTTCCAACAGGGAAAAAAACCCTTCAGCTACTTAGACGGTGTCTTTAGATTTTGATTTTTTTTTTCCGATGAGAAAATGCTGACAATGCCATCAAGTAGTCTGGTTTCTACTTTTGTTTGACGGTGTTTTCAGAAAGGAGATTTGGGGAGGCTTAATTTTTCAAAATGTACAGTTCACAAAATGCTCAGTCTCAAGTTTTTAGAGGTAAACAACCTCCCTTTCATCCAAGCTTATCATTTTTTTTTTGTTGAACTTTAAGTATACTTATCAAATTTGGGGAGAACTTCATCTCCTAACAGGTTAATGTCTTGAAAGAAGGAAAAAAAAATCACTATATCCTCTGACATAAAGGCAAATTAATTTTAGATACCTGCATCTTTATGTCAAAGGTTTATTTTAAAACCAATTACTTTATTATTATTTCTTGAAAGAGAGGCAGCATAATGTCATATCTAGAGAGATGGGCTCTCAGTCAGGAAAACCTGTGTTCAAGTCTTGCCTCTGATACATACTAGCTCTGTGACCCTGCACAGGGCCTTCCAAGGCCCAGAAAGCTCTATAAGTTTTAAATTGCAGAAAAGATGCTCATGTACATGAGTAGACTACTTGAGGGGTGTGTGTGTGTGTGTGTGTGTGTGTGTGTGTGTGTGAGAGAGAGAGAGAGAGAGAGAGAGAGAGAGAGAGATAGTGTCCTTTTGAGAGAGCCAAGCTACTGTTGAAGTCTACATCTAACTCTTGATAATGCTGATAGATTCAAATATAATAAATTAAATAAACCTGGGCAGCTAGGTGGCACAGCGGATAGAGCACTGGCCCTGGAATCAGAATGACCTGAGTTCAAATCTGGCCTCATATACATAATACTCACTAGCTGTGTGACTCTGGGCAAGTCACTTAACCCCAATTGCCTCACCAAAAAAATTAATAAGCCTACCCTAGATAAACCTTAGGGCAGCTAGGTGGTGCCAGGCCTGGAGTCAAGAAGACTGAGTTCAAATTCAGTGTCTGAACACTCGCTAGTTGTATGAACCTGGGGAAGTCATTTAATCCTATTTGCCTCAGTTTCCTCATCTGTAAAATGAGCAAGAGAAGGAAATGGCAAACCATTCCAGTGTCTTTGTCAAGAAAACCCCAAATGGGGTCAGATAGAGTTGGATATGACTGAAATGAGTGAACAACAACAAAAACCCAAGGACCAAAGCAGATTTTGGATAAGAGTTATGAAGGGTGAAAAGGCAGCAGAATTTTAAAGAGAAGGCAAAGCAAAGATGGAGCATCCCTTTCATCGGAGGGGCATGGTTTTGGCTAGCATTGGCAATAATTTTCTGTGGTAACTCCCATGGTATCATGTCATGCTGGTCTGGAAGGTTATCAAAAATGGCTTCCTGAGGTTAAGGATTCTGACTTTCATGTAAGGCTGGATAGCACCTCAGAGGATATCTAGTCGGATTCCCTCATTTTACAGATAAGAGATCTGAGGCCCATGCAGGTTATGTTACTTGCCTAGGAACATACAGACATAGATTTTCAGCTATTCTAATCTAAACCTCTAATTTTTGCATATGAAGAATTTGAGGTAGGATTTGAACCTAGGCCTTCTGACTCCAGAGTCAGTCTTCTTTCCATTATAGCCTCATTCTATCTTTGTATCCCCAGAACCTAGCTCAGTACCTTACACACATTAAGTACTTATCACAGAATCAAGGGCAGTTAGGTGGCACAGTGGATAGAGTGTCTGGTCAGGTGTCAGGAAGACTCATCTTCATGAGTTCAAATCCAGCCTCAGACACCTACTAGCTCTGTGACCTTGGGCAAGTCACTTAATTCTTTGCCTTAGTTTTCTCATCTGTAAAAAGTGAGCTGGAGGAAATGGCAAACCACTCTAGTGTCTTTGCCAGCAAAACCCCAAATAGAGTCACAGAGAGATGGATGTGACTGAAAAATGATTTGACAAACAGAATCATAGATTCTAAGGCTGGAAGGAGCCTCAAAAGCCATCTAGTTGTCATTTCTACAGGTGAAGAAACTGAAATCAGCAATGTTGTCAGTAGCCCACAATCAGCTAGGTAGTTGCCAGAGCTGAGATTTGAACCCAGAACTTCTAATTTCAGATCTTTCTACTGCTGTGCTGCCTTTCTTGTTTGTTGAATTTCTTGGTTAATTGTCTAGAAGCACCAGTTCTCTCACAGCTCTTAGAGCTATAAGAGAAAATTAGGAGTGATAGAATCACTCAGCTCTCCTGTTACTTTCTGATTGTTCTCATCAGGACATTTTGATCCAGTCTCCAGATCTGAATGGAGTGAAATGGGACAGTTAGAACAACCCAGAAAATAGATCTTAGAAATCTTCCCTTTCTCCCACACAGATACCAAAGTCTGTAGGAGAGGAGGCAGCAGAGAAGCCTGTAGGAGCTGGGAACAGAATGGACTTTTATAGTTGCTTCAATATTATTAGTAAATGGTGACTTCAGTCAAAGGTTACATTTTTTTTTATCATGCCTCCTACTATGACATGTATCTCACTGTTTTATTGCAAAGTTCTCTTCATATAAAAGTGTTCTTAGTTTGATAATATTTATATCTTCTTTATAATAAGGCAGTGATTATTATAGCCTAATATTATATAGGATTGTCTATGTTAATTTAAAGTAAGAGGGAGCTTGCCTCTAAATATTTATTCTGCATTCTCTACCACTGGGACATTTAAGGCTGATGAGAGAGAATGATTAAGGATGGAAGAGCTTATGCACAATTGGACTTCTTTGAAAACATGCAATTAAGTAAAGGCCAAAATTAAAAACTGCATTTCAGAGAAGCAAGTTATTATCCCAGGTTATTGCCTTTACCTAATAGAAGTATAATGGCTTCTTTGTTAAATTATATCAAGAGGGGAATCAACTTTTACCCTCCACACAGGGTCATAAAGATGTGGGAGATCTGAGAGAGATTCAAGGATCAGAGAAGAAAATTTGAGGGAAGACAGAGAGGCATCTAGGAACCTGGCAGTGAGTGGCGATGGATCTGAAAAATCACCTGGGGAATAGGGATCAGCTGGAAAATTTGGAGATGAGGGCAAGATGAGAGACAATCAGGAGGTTGAGGACATAAAATGAGTATAAGGATGTCTGGGAAGGGGCAGGTAAAGGGCTGAGAAAAAGAGAACGGTGAGGAACCCAGAAGAAGGAGCTGGACAAAGAACCACTGTGCTGTTCAACTCTAGGCCCTATATTCCCAACACAGATAGTTGGAGTTCTTGATGACACCCCATCATCTGTCTTCAATCTTTCAAGATTCATTTCCTCCTTACACTCAGCAGCTCTCTTCATCATCCTCCATTGTTCCTTTCTCCTCTTCCTTCATTTAATGATTTAAAATGGATCCAAAGCAAAGATAAGGGGCTTCAAGTGTCTGCCCAAATTCTGACATAAAGAGAACTACAGATCTGTGGTCTGTTGGAAATTATATGCCAGTGCTTGTTTTTGATCTCCAAGCGTCACATTCCTGGCACTAAGCAAGAGCTTTGGCCCCAGAGAAGTGCAAATTCTGCCCACTGGCTTTCTTCCACATTAAGTGAGGAGTTTGGCTTTTCTCAAGTAAGTACAGAATTAGATTTTCCTTTAGGAAAGTCACTTGGCTAAGGGGAAAACCATTTCTTGGGACAATCCTAATTTATTATTCCTATAGATATTCTTTAGATGGGTGAAAACAGAAGGGGTTTGCCTGAATTTATACTCTAGTTTGGAATAGATTCAGAAAGAGCTAAGAAAAAAACAGAAAAGATGAAACCTCTGAAGTTAAAATATTCAAAATGTAAGTGTCAGACAAGCTAGGAAGGGCCCTATTCTCCAGGGGAAAAAAGATTCTTCAAAATTATTGGTGTGTAAATTATTCCAAAAATTCTCCAATGTTACTGATTTGCCTGGTAGGACCAGGCAGAAGCTCTTTTTCTTTACTTCTTTTCCCTAAGACCTGAAACTGTTACACTATCTTTTTATAGTTTCCTTGATTAAATATGTCCTTGTAGATAAGCCATCCTCCCTTTTTTCTTCTCTAATGTAAATGATACACAAAATATCTCAAGACTTTGGAATTCTAATTCAAGGTCTTCTGTTCAGCAAGTCATTTTCTCCACAGTTAACTATATACAACTTTTAAGCCAGTTTATGAGAAACAGCACCTGCCTGCATTGCCCATGCCTAAAAATAACTGGCTGTCCCTAGGGCAAATTAGGTGAGTAGGATAGGCAAAAATATAATTAAAGAAAATTCAATTCAATACACATTTATTAAGTGCTTACTATGTTCAGTATACTGCTAGACAATGAGGGGTATAAGTACAAAAAGTAATCATCCCTGTCTTCAAAAAACTTTCATTTTATTAGAGAAATATAGCATATGTACTCAAAATGTATCTGTAATGTCATCAATATAGGTATTCTCTTCAGTAATAGAGATTGAAACCCATCAATGCCTGTTCATCCTGTGAAAATCTTGTCCATCTATATTGTCCTATAACTTTGCCGCAGGAATTTCACCCAATATGTTGGTGTTCTTCTCTGAGTTCTCTTGAATTGTGGGGATACCAAAGGACCTAGATTATCCACCAATGTTATCCTTCGCTCTTGTCACATGACCATCATATCTACTTTTTCAACCACATATTTCTCTTACGACATCATTTACTCTGGCTTCTCCTTTGTAATTCCTTGTTTATTGGGTGCTGTAACCTGTTAATGTCCACCAAGTGCCTTCTCATTGCCTTTTTAAATTATCTTTAAAATATTTTATTTTTCCTCAATTACATATAAAAACAATTTTTAACATTCATT